ATTCTAACAGTATCTGTAAGGAAAAAAATACATGTACATTTCGATGCTGGAAAAAATTGTGGTTGTAAATATAATTATACACTTGCGCTTTTCCTGTTGTTCTTTTACTTACTGCATGATACATATATATCTTCGGTATCACTGGCACAAAAACTTGAGATGGTTGTTGTAAGTCTGCATTGGTCAAGTGTCAAATATGTACTAAGAGTACATTTAACATCATCAACAATTGTGGCAGCTGTATCAGTTCCATAGCTAGGTATACATAATCAAGCTAAATTTTAGATAAAATGAGTAAAAAATGTAACATTTCAAACTGCTTTCTATCTACTTTTAAACCTCATCACCAACATGGATATGTAGCAGGAACCTAGACTGACCCTTACTGTGGAATATTGTAAAAAAAATTTATTTGAATGTATCTATGACCCACTTCACTTTTTAAAAGGACTATCAAGACTTGACCCCAAACTGCCAAGTCAGGATATAAGTACTGATAACATAGTGCATGCTGTAAGATGCATCATTTGAGTAAATAAAATGGTTTTATGGAAACTTTATGCATAGTAATTTAGAGCCATGATACCTTGATGTGCTACCAGCTCTGCCATAGGTTGATACTCCATTATATCCCAACTGGTTACAAATGACATTAGCTTCAGAATCACCAAAAGATGTATCATCACAGATGTTACCCCAGATGTTTGTAGTGGAGGAGCTGGCACTGTAAAAAATCTCAACTATTCCAGATGAATAAGCTGATGAGACATCTGGAACTCCATTTCTAACCAGTCGAACAGTTCCACGGGCTATTGTTGACAAATAAAATTGATAATAAATATCAATAATAATTATTTCAAAGTTTTGCTTACTTTGGCCCTGAACAGCACAAACTAAGGCCACAAAGAAAGCGAAAATACCAAGCAAGCTCATTTGCATTTGCAGCAGCTATCTATCTAAAACAATTGTGATAAATCTACACCTAGCTTGGTTCTTTTATTTTATACATAATTTATATAGCAGATCTACCTGATTTCTAAGAGTGTGCCTTATAAACAATTCCTAGAAATGTTTTGATGAGTTTGAGTGTTATATGTTCCAAGAACTGTTAGCTAAAATAACTACATACCTTATTAAGGTAATGTACTTTGTATAGTACATTCTTATCAAGGTAATAGACCACCCAGAGTGAGAATTGCTTGCGTGGGAAGACTATTACGGTTGTAAGGCGTGGTTTACAATGAAATAAATTCCGGACGCCATTTTGGTTGGCAACTTTCAGGAGCATAGATACTACCAGGAGCCCATGAAAGAAAAAGAGAAGGGTAGGAGCGCGCAACACCCACGCATTTAATTAAAATCACTGTAGCCTGCATATCCTAATGAGTTTACTATTTTTAGAA